CACCGATTCCTCCACGGGGTCAGAGAGGAGATCAAGGCAAATTAGTCAGTTTGTGGCTCGTTAGTCACTGCTGGGAACAGGTAGGAGGATGAGGAGGAGCTCCTAATGGATTTTTAAAAAGCAAGTCGAAGCATGATCTGTGCATGACAAGCTCTCTTGCTGCTCTCCCGGCTCCTAGTACAGAAAATTGAGTGTCAGTCCCTATTTATAGGTGTTTCTGTGCCAGGAGAACTTCTCTTCCAACTCCTTGGTTCCTACTCGTTCTTCAGTGCCCAGCACGTACAGACTCTCTTACGACCCTCCCTGATCCCTGTGGAGGGAGACAGCATGCTTCTCATCCCGCCAACATCGCTTGGTCCATGCCAGGCTTCCCATCTGCGAGCTGCTCTTCTCACCATTGGCTCTGCTGCCTCTGTCACTTAACTGCAAGCTCCTTGACCGTGTCCAGTTATTGGCCTCCACGGGCCGAAGCTAAAAACGCACGGTACATTTTTGACGAATGCCTATCTTACAAAAGGAAACGTCTATTTCAGTGTCAGTGGATAAAGGGTTAAGAGGTGGAAATGATCCACTTGTAACTGAAGGAAGATGTAAAGGACCTGAGTTCTAGTCTCCGCCCCTATCAGAACAGTGTGCACATTAGCCAGGCAGCCTGCCTATCAGACAGAGGGCTTCAGGTCCAAGCATCTCTCACAGCAACTGGTGCACCAAGACAGCATGCAAAATCCTATTGCAGCGCTCCCTGCGCACCATGTGGTAGAGGAGCCCTGGGAACCATGATCAGCCTGTGTGGAGCTGACATGTGAGAATCTCCTTTAAACCGAGAAGACTGTGTGTCCCAGTAACAGAAGGAGAAGTAAAGTCAGAAGTCAACAAACCTGGGGCGTTGGGGGTGGGGGAAACACACACACATATACACACACACACACACAGAGAGAGAGAGAGAGAGAGAGAGAGAGAGAGAGGAAATCAAGGCCTTTCTTTTCTGAAACACCAATCCTATCAGGCCATTCAGTGTGAGTGTGTGTGTGTGTGTGAGTGTGTGTGAGTGTGTGTGTGAGTGTGTGTGTGTATATGTGTGTTCATTCATATTTGGATGTTTGGATATGTGCATGCCTGTGTGTATGTGTATATATTATTCATGTTCATGTATATCTGGGTACATATATTTATGAATGTGTGCACCTGTGCTTCTCTTTGTGTGTGTGTGTGTGTGTGTGTGTGTGTGTGTGTGAGAGAGAGAGAGAGAGAGAGACAATCATGCCTATTTGGGTGCCCACATATTTGTGTTTGTGTGTGTGTGCCTGTGTGTATATTCATGGTATTCATGTTCATGTATATTTGGGTACACATATTTGTGGGTGTGTGCATGTGAGCCTCTCTGTGTATAAGTGTGTGTGAGAGTGTGTGTGTGTCAGTGTGTGAATATTCATGTGTATTTGAGTATATATGTGCTGTGCTGTGTGGGGCAGAGGGTTCCCCTCCTCAATAAATGACCACCTATTTTTCTACTTTTACTTTCCTGAGACAGGATTTACCCCTGGCCTAGAACTCACCATGTAGGCAAGACTTCCTGGTGAGCAAGCCCTATGGAACATATCTGTCTCTGACCCAGCAGTGATGGGATTGTTAGGTGTGTGAGGGCCACCACACCAGGCCCAAACTCAAGGCCTTGTATTTTCATGACCAGCTACACCTCTCCAGTCCTGGCGAGCCATCTTTACGTAAAATCTGTCCAGATGCTCACAGTCTCAGGTAAATTCGGACCACCTGGCCAGGCCTGCAAGGCCCTACGCTGACACCTCAGCTTTGCATAGCATCTCTGGGTACTCACATTCCAGCTGCTGCTGATAAGAAAGGAGAGGCCACACCAGCAGCCAAGGCCACTGCTCCTGTTGTCCCACCTCCTAAAGATTTCTCCCTCACTCCCATGAAGTTTCTAGTACTCAATTCTACCTGTAGACTTCCTGGCTAGGTCTGGGAGGAAAGACACCCCCAAGGAGCTTCTCCACTCTGGCTTTTGGCTGCCCTGGGTCTGAGTCAGTGACCTCTCTGTGGGTTTCCTGACACCCCTTTGGCCTTACTGCTGGTAACTAAGTGTTGCAGGCTACCTGGCCTGATAAAACTATAAACAACCAGAGTGTGGGTGTGGACGCTAATCAGTAGTTCTGCTGAGGGCTGAGTGTAGGTGCTGACAGGGACGTACATCCAAACATTTAAGGAATGAAGTGGATTCCCTCCTCCCCCGCTTAGCCTGAAGGCAAATCCTGGCAAAAGCCTATTATGTAAATGAACTTCACAGGCTTTGGTGGAAATGACCTTTAGGTGGTTCTGGGAGGAAAAAAAAACATACTCTAGCAAATTGGTTCTACCCTGATCCAATTAGGGTCACACTTCACTTAGACCTAACCTATTGATGAACTTCACCAAGCATCAGGGAGACTCCTAAAGCCAGGGCCAAGACTCACTGCTCTTCAGTCTTAGGAGCCAGAGCCCAGAAAGGGTTCTTTGAATGGATGACTAATACTGTATTGGGTAAGAACACTGATCTCTGTGTCCATTCGGGGATGTTTTAGAGATGAGGTTTTTGAGAGACACTGGGGAAGAGAGAGGAAAGGTAAAGGGGCCAGGAAAAGTGAGCCAGGTCCTGATGGTGGCCGTCAGGGATCCTTATCCACTGCCCACACTGTCCGGCCTCTACCTCCTTCCTCCCCACCTCACCCCTGGATTCCTCTACTCTAATCCCACCGCTGCTTTTAGCTTCATGAAGGCCCAGCACAGTCCCCTGGAGCCTTTGTCTCAGTAATCACGCCCCACCTTATTGTCCCTGGTTTTCTTCAGGTCCTCCAGAGATAACAGGACAACACCTGTTCAAGGACAGCCTGGCCCTCTGACTCCGGATTTATTTAGCTAGTTTTGCTTGCTGTGTTTTTTCCCAATGTGCTGAATGGGACATCTCTAATCATTCCCCATCCGGGACATGTGCTAATCATTCCCCATCCCTGGCCTCACTCAGATGCCAGCTCCCTGCAAATGGGAACTTTGTCTCCTTCTGCTCTGTTATCCTTAGCACTAAGAAACACCTGCCGCTGCCACATAACACATGCTCTGCAAATATTTGCTGAATGAATGGATAGCCTGTGTGTGTGTGTGTGTGTGTGTGTGTGTGTGTGTGTGTGTGTGTGTGTGTGAGCGTGCACACGCACGTGTGCAGTGCCTCTGGAGGAGACTGTACTTGGGACTGAACTGTCTTCATTGCAGTGTCCTCCAGACATTCTTCCTTGGCTCTTGGCTGTTAGGGACATTTGCCACACAGTCTCAGGTCAGAACACCTGCCCCAAATCATAGGAATCTACTTCTAGACCATGGGCATGTGCTGGTCTGAAGGGAAGATGTTTCTGGAAGGAAGAGAGTTTATAATTGGTAGTTCAGGGAACCAGGGATACGATGAAGGTGTTGGAAGAGGGGTGGGTCCTCAAGCTGACCTTGCAAACCTTCCAGGCTGGTGAGGCTGTCCTGGCCAAAGTCAGAGAGAAGCCTTGGGATACAAAACCTGATTACAGTCTTACCTTTACTGCTGGGGACTTACTGGTGTTGAAGACAGTGACTGCCCACAGATTATAGGCACACAGGTCACAGAATCCATTACGGGGCTAGAGCTGTGATTAGGTAGTCCTACAAAAGTTGGGTGGGAAAGGATCTAACTTTTGCTGTAGCTCCTTAGGATCAAGAAACTATGTCAATGGATTATGTCTTCCAGTCCTGACCGGCAGCTTTGGACACAATCACTGTCCCCAAGCTACCGGTAGAGAGACACAGACAGGCTCAGCAACTTAGCAATGATGTAAGCAGAGTCAGTATGCGTGTGCACCAAATACACCCTGGAGTTATTCTAATTCATGCTGCTTTTCTCCTTCCTCGGGATGGTGGGTCCCACAGCTCTGGGAACACTCTAGAAGAAAGACAAGAAGAGGAAGAAAGGAAGGGAGCCCAAGCCGAGTCTAGAAAGCAAAGAACAATCGAGAAAGTGTGGAACTGAAGATTCTGGGAACCGAATGTGCGTAAATGCCTTAGCGGTCCCCTAACTGGGCTCTGTCCTCTGCCTTATGCTCACAAACTCCTGGTTTTAGCTCTCAAGGAAAATGCAGATCAGCTCTATGAAAAAGAGCTTGAGCGAAAGAGGTAGAAATGGTACCTCCCCTGACTGGTGAGAGAGTGAAGTGTGTGATCTCGGTGTAAGAATGTTGCCTTCATCCTCACTAACTAATCTTGTCATGCTGCCTCCCAGGCTGGTCTAAGGGAGCCGTGCTGAAGGGAGAGCCCAGGAAGCTGAGGCCCCACAAATCTTTAGTCAAATGGGGAGGCTTGTCGGCCCTCGTCACATGCAAACTCAGTGAAGAAATTCAAATAGATGTGGCCATGTACCACTCAAAGGAAAGGGAAAACTGTCCAGCATCACCAGAACATAACAGAGGAGAAGGGGGTGGGGCAGACTCACGTGTGCAGCCAGGAAAGGAGGAAATGGCCCATAAGAAAGGTGTACAAGAGCCCTTGGATGACAACTCCATAAACTGCATCTCTCCCTGAAAGTGTTGCAAATGGGTTGCAAATCAGGCCTCTAACAAGACATATAAATCCACCTTGAGAGGCTGTCTACCACGGGACTTCTCTGGGCTAAATAAGTAGTAAAGATAGAAAGGACATCAACTGTGCCTCGATGATACAGGGGAAAGTGACTAAAATCCAGCACCGATCTGTTGCTTCCCTACGTGCCATGCTAATCCACTGTGTCAGGCCTAAATATTGCAGACACCCAGAGCGACCCAGTCGCCATTGAGAACACAGCTAAAAAAGCCCAGAGGCCTTAGACCACCCCCTAATCACAGCTTCCTTGGAATGCATGCCAGTTCTTACTTATGTCCCCTTTCATTGAGTTTTTCTTTAGCCAGTGTTCGGAGGCACCATCTCTGCCACTCTCAAACTCAGCACTTCACCATTACCTGGAAATATCTCTAGTGGTTGGGTGTCACCAATCCAGGCTGAAGGGACAAACCAGTGGAACAGCTAGGAGCTCCCCGAACAAGGACTGTGGTCCCTGAGAGTTTCTGTCCTTGTGGGAGTGGTAGGTACCCTGTGGGAAGGGAATGAAAATCGTGTCACTGTGATAGGCAATTTCCAGACCTCCTCCAGTCACATGCAATTTTTAAGCCAAGCCACAGGAAATCACAGGACCAGGGACTACCAGTACTGAAAGACATCCATGAGAGAAACTTGCCCAATTGATTCATTCTGTAGTCAGGGAAACTAAGGCTTGAAGAAGGAAACAGCGTCTTTGATAACCATCAGCTTGGGAGAGGGTCCAGCTTGGCTTCTGACGCTACAGCAACTGGAATGTTAGAGTGCAGCCTCATGCTCAGGCCGACCAAAGAGTGGCCACTGGCTCTGGACCGGAAGGCTTTTTCTGTATGTGTGTATGTGTGTTCATGTACAGATGGGGCCTTGTGCACACAGGTATGGTGTGTGTGTGTGTGTGTGTGTGTGTGTGTACATGTGTGTGGAGGTCAGAGGTTGACATGGCCTTCCCTTTACTCTGAGGCAGGGTTTGTCACCGACGGCACAGCTCACTTACTGGCTAGCCTGTCTGGTCAGCTTGCCCCGGGAATCCCCCACCTCTGCCTCCTGAGCACTGGGTCACCACGTGTGTGCAGCATGTATATGGGTACTTAAGGTCTGATTGAGGTCCATGAAACTACCCAGCAAGCACTTCACACATTGAGACATGTCCTAGCTCCCTTTAAAAAATAGTTTTCACACAGAGGCGATACTTTCCCCACACTTCTGTTTTTGTAGATTTTATGGTTTTACCAGGAGGGAACTAAATTGGTAAAACAGTCCATCTCAGGCATGTGACTCGGGTGGTGTTCATGTTTCTCTCATTATAAAAATATTGTTATGGAAGACTGTGAACCAGGGACATGGCAGTAGGTGGGCTTTGCTTTTCAGTGGCAACAAGTCTCTCTCCCTCCTTCAATCCCTTACCCCCTCCATCCCTCCCTCCTCCCCTCTCTTGCTGCCTGTTACAGAAAATGGGAAAAGATACGGATTCTCCCTTGAGTACCAATTCTTAGAGGGATTTTCTGACTGTCCTGTGTATTTGAACAGTCACACTTCAACACAGAAAAGGAACAGAGAGGAAAAATTCATGTATCTAAAATTTCCTAGCCAAATCAAACCTCTCAGGCACATTGTGTGACCTCCATATGCGTGTATTTCCCAAACCCAGCTTATAATTTTTCTTGTCAGGTACTACTGATTTCATGTTTCCAAACAACTAGATTCTTACAGTTAGAATGTTTGTTGAGGCGTGAAGAAAGTGCACCGTAGAAGAAGAGATGAGTCCAACATATATAAGGCTTCCTTACACACACACACACACACTCAAGGAAGAGGAAGTAGACTAATTGGAAGGAGAAAAAGGAGTTCGCCAGTAGAGCGAGGGGCTAAGAGAAAGTAGCCACATGAATATGGTCAAAAGTTAAAATATAAAAGAGAAAAAGAAACAGGAACACATCTGACTCCCAGATCTTTCTGTTTATATCAGTTGGATTACAGTTATTGGGGTCAAAAACCAGAAGTTGTCTATGCATTCATTGTCCTCCTCAAATGCAGGGCAAAGTGCTTTGGAAGCCGTCAGGGATGGAAAGACAGGGAGGATTATTCTTCCTAGGTTCTGTGTGGGGCAGGGTGGAGGGGCTCTTTGAAAGCCAAGGTTTACTGCCCTGCTCTCTGCTCGTCTCCCCCAGCAGGCTGGACTTGCCTGGGCTCTGTGCAGCTGCAGCCAGAGGGCACCACAGGAAATCATGATTATCAACGCTCGCTCCGGGCTTTGTTCCTGTTCTCAGACAGCCTGGACATGCCAGGAGAGATGGGGTGGGGGCGGAGAAAGAGGAAGAAAAAACAGGAAGTCAAGTGGGGGGAGGAAATGATAGAGAAAACAGACACTTTGGAACGTCCTCCATGAGAGACTGTTTTCAGAGCGGACTGTGGAGCTGGGAGCTGTGCTTTTGGAAAACTGGGTGTGGTGTGGTGCAAATGAGGACGAGGGTCCTGTGGGTCCGAACCCATAAACTCTATTTCCAGCCCCAGAGCCTGGGCTGTCCCACACCAGGCTGGGTGTAAACACTAAAGCAAGTGAATTTCCAAAGGGTCACAGGGACCCGCCATTTCTCCCACTTCTTGGCAAAGCCTGAGAGACCAGATGCACCAAGATGGTTCTAGAAACAAGAGAGAAGCTCTTGAGGTGATTGCTGACTTCAGGAGAGCTTTTCCATGCCCCCACCACCTGCTTTCTCTCTCAACCACTTTCAAATTATTAGTGGTTCGAGGGGGCATAAACGAATCTCATTCAGCCAAACAGGACAGGTTACCTTCAATCGGATAATCCAGAGGTTCAGAACTCTTAGGTCTTCGTGACACAACTAAAATCCTGCCCTGATGTTTTCTGTCCGCTTTGTTCATTCTGTCACTTAGAGATGCTTCCAGAAGTCCCCCATCTCCAAATACACATCATTAAACCCGGCATGTCCTAGTGAGCTCAACAACCTCACAGAAATAGTCCTACTATACATGAGAGGGTCATGGGGACCCACTGCTCCCCGAGGGGCTGTTGGCAGTTAATGGTCACTGCTGAGCAGGTGTCATTTTCTTTTGTAGCCTAGTCATTGGTTAAGTGGTCCATGATTTAGTCAATGAACACTTAGCCATGCTCTTCATAAGCAACCCTAATTCAAATCAGTGGCTCTCTCTGTCTTTGAATGTCTCTGTCTCTCTCTGTCTCTGTCTCTCTGTCTCTGTCTCTCTGTCTCTGTCTCTCTCTCACATACACACAAATACATGAAAGTGTGGAGGGAATTACTGGGAAGAGAATTTCCATGGAAAACCAAGGAGGAGGGGGAAAAAAAGTAACACGGGGTGGGGTTGAAAGTGACCAAAATTCACCACAGATGTGTATGAAACTGTCAGAGAACAAAAACAGAAGAATTTAGTGTGAAGGGTTAACGATGAGAGAACATTTGTAGAAAGATTGTTAACATTATCAGTGTTTGACAGTCTCTCTCTCTCTCTCTCTCTCTCTCTCACACACACACACACACACACACACACACACAATAGACCTAATAGTATTTAGCACTACTTTTCATTCCCCCATGGGTATGAGAGGAAGGAACCGAGAATGTAGAATCCTTAACAAACGAGTCCACAAGTCATCGACATCACCCCTCCCCCTCCCCCAGCCCAGGGTTCCCCTAAGTGGCTGTGAATCAGAAAAGCTAATAGAAAGCACAGCCCAAACCGGGAGAAGAAGGTGGGAAGCTTACATCTCTGCATCTTTGTTGGCATCCACCTGCCTTGGACCCTCGGGCTGGCCCTTGGGCAACAAGTGGGATTCATTGTCGGCTCTCATCAAGGTCCCACCTCCTCTTGTTTCCTAGACATGGTCACAAAGACCCAGTGCAGACTGTCTCAAGGTCTGACATCGAATGGCCTTCTGGGGATCTGTCCCACACAGACTCTGCAAATAATTTTCTTAATATCCAAACAAATATGAGATAGCCCCGTGTAAACATATCTTTGTGAGGAGTCCAAGCTCTTTGAAGTAGTAGTTCATGCACAACTGTCAGAACCAAATATCCACAAGGGAGAACAGAGATGAAATGAGGAGAGCACCATGGACCCTTCTCTGTCTCCAAAGCAACGCACCCGAACATCCCAATGTACTGATTTGCTTCTGACACTGGGGTTGTGGACACCACGGCAGCCTGTGGGGCTGTCTATACGCAGGAGGGCTACCCTCCATAGCGCATGGTGGCCAGGAATGTGTTTTCCAATACCACAGCCTTTGCTCAGCTTGAAAGAGTTACAAAGACCATTTGATAAAGTACGGAAGCCAAATCCAGAAATGTGAAACGCTTCATCCAGGGCCACAGAACAGAACTAAGGCTTGAGGGGCAGCACCCAATGCAGAGACTTGCTCACAGCATCCCTTCCCCTCCTATCCAGAGAGATGGAGCTGGGCCATAGCTGCTGACACCTGTGTGTCTTCTACTCTGAGAGGCTGAGGTGGTAGATGATGAGATCAAAGGCCTGAGAAAACACATTCATGCCTCCACATGGGACAGACAGGGGATCCAAAGGCCAGCATGGGAGTGGGCTCCTTCACAATTCCCCGCCCTCCAAAGCAGAGTGAAGACTCTAGTTCAAAGTGTTTCACTTGACATTTTTCCCCACAGCAGCAGGAGTGGGGACACAACAGAGCCAAGAATGAAGGGACAGAGTTAGACAAAACAGTGTCACATCAAGGACGTACTGCGCATGCATTCAGCTTTGAGTGTACATCTTGTCACTCCCTGAAATCCCACAGAAATCCTGTTGGCTTGCCACTGCTTTTGTCCCTTTCACAGTTAAGAAAACTGAGATACATCATGGCTTAGCCTCTGCTCTAAGGGATTCAGTGTTGGAGAGATAGGGGAGATAGGGCCAATTTATGAACTCAGACACTCTGACTGGAATTCTTGCTTTTAAGCACTTCCTAAAACTCCCTCTCAAAAAAAAAAAAAAGCTATATTAAAGGGAAAAACACTGGAAAGAACTAAATAAAAACAAATCCCTCGGGAACAGCGGACACTTCATTCAGAAGGGAAGGAGGCAGTAAAGCTCTCCCTCCGGGCAGGAATGCCACAAGGCGCTCACAGCAGAACGGAGAATCTAGTCCCCGATCCCGCTTGGCTAGCAGCCCGCTGGGGTCAGGCAGCACCAGTAAATGGCATCCTGGTTTGGTGCTTACACAGCCCCACTCAGGAGAGGGAAGCGGTTGGACCCAGGGTGGCTGGAAGGGGTGATAATGCCCCGGGAAGTCAGTTTCCAAGGCCCAGAGGATCCAGCAGCTGGATCTGGCAGGTGGGTCACTCTCTGCTTGCAGTCCCCAGGCCGATGGCATATATCCCCCTAAGGGTTCCTGGCTGCCTGGTTTCAATCTCACAAAAAAAGAAAGAAGGGACAAGGCCAGGACACAAGTCATCTCTCCCCATTTCCCAGCCCTGGGACGACTAGTATTGAGAGCAACAATAGCCG